AAAACTTTTTTATTAAGGGGGGGTTTTTTTTTTTTTTTTTTTTTTTTTTGTCACAGTTTGAACATTAAGGTTTAAGTGCACTGACTTAAAAAAAAAAAAAAGGCAATAACCAAGGCTCCAACTACTGTCAAAGGATGAATGTATAAGGTTTTTATTTGAAGTCTTCAGCCATTCTAAACTGGCACTGGTTTATACACATGGTTACAGCTTTCTCATTTTTTCTATCTCTATTTTTTATGTCTTTGCAATTTGCTTATAAATTTCAGAATTTTATATCTCTGAGAACAATATCACTTGTATTGCCATGGCAGTAATGCTCACACACTGTGAAAACCAACAACAATGGCATGAGCGACAGCAAACCCAGACGTGTTTGTCACTGCAGGTCGGATCGACGTGACGTTTACATCCACACAGTTCAGAATGCTGAGATTCAGGTATTCTTATGAGGTGTTCAAATTGTAATCAGGGTCATTTTGGTCCAATAACATTTACACCAAAACTGAACTAGGTCACGCATCATTCCCTTGCAGATCATCAAAAAAATAATAAAACCCACGTTGAAAATAACTGCTGTGGAACTCCTTTTATAAAGATTAGAGGACCAAAATGTTGTTTTTTTTATAAATATTTATTCTCAGTTCAGCATAAGTTGTGGCAAAATTTAAAATTAATAAATGGTTTACTGTAACTGCATGGGAATTATAATAATTGAAATGGAGAATCTGCTGGTTACAAAATAAGCTGTGCCGTACTTTGAATATAAACTCTTAGCATTTGTAAGGAGCAGTAATGTAAGCAGACAAAGAGCCTTGCAAAAGTTTTCCTACCCTTGGAATGTTTTCGTTTTTTTTTTTTTTTAAACCATGAAATTAATAACTTCAATGGATTTCATTAGGATAAACGGCTTTCTAAAATAAAAAACTGAAAAGTGTGGTGTGCATTTTCATTTAGTCCCTTTGAGTCATTACATTGTGAAACCATTTTCACTGTGGTTACTGCTGGTCTCTCTACCAGCTTTGTATATTGACTGAAATTTGTGTTTATTCAGTTTGTGTCCATTCTTTATATATAAGATTTAGGTCTGGACTTTGACTAGGCCATTTTTACAGATGAATATGCCACTGTATCTCTACCTGAAAGTTTAGGGCTTTTATCCTATTGAAAGGTGACATCAGTACATTGAAGTCTGTGGATGGTAGGGGTAGAAATACTTTTGCAAGTCACTATAGCAGCATGAAAGAATTTGTACTTCCTGTTTGGAACCTTGTAAGCATCAAATTAGCTGGTCAGTTTTACTGAATTTACTGCCAAAAACCCTGGGTTTTTAAATGTGCATACAAGTTTCATGAGATAACTGGGGGGGGAAAAAAAGATTTTTGGTGTCTGATCAGCCTCTGTCCCTGTATCTGTGCATGTAGGTGTCTGCATGTTTCACTTTTTTCTTTTTAATTTTCATTCTTGTTCTACATGAGAGCCTCCTTAATTAGCATTTATTGGAGATAAGTCCTAACTACAGTGTGTATGCTTAAACCCTCAGATTATTCTGTTGAATTCGCCCCAAACTACCACACAGCCAGACAGCAACGGCTGGTAATCTATATTCAAAACACTTAATTATCATATTGGAAGCACTTTGCTGTCATCTGGTGGCCACAGTTTATATGATTGTCTAATTTTGCCAATTTTCACATTAAACCCCCAACTGTATCTGCTGGACTGTGCTGTATTAATTTAATCTCTATTTAATTTAGAATGTCCTTGTCAGCAAAAAGTATTTCTTGCATATATATTGTAAATCAATTCAGGGTTGAGGTTTAATCTAAATATTATCAATTATAATTTGGCAGATTCCTTTTTTTGGTTAAATATTTATGCTTAGTTTTTTTATTTATTTTTTTGTCTAATTCTACAAGCATTGCTACTGCTTCTTGTTATTGTCATAGTAATACAATTTATTAATATTGTGGATCCAAATGACTCGGTTCATGTTTGTAATTTGGTTTTTGTAGTTTCATTCTTTTTTGATTCGTCACTTTGTCTCCTATTAAGAAAAAACTGTTGTCCTTACATCTTTTTGGGTTGAGATCATTTTGCATTTGCGCTGCTCTTTTTTTATTTTTTTCCTTTTAGCTTTATCCTTACTCACTCAACTCAGACCACTCTCACACATTACGGTGGACTCTGGTCTGTTCCAGCACTGGAAATGGATTTCCCTCCATAGTGAGCAGCTATAACAGTGATTGGTCTTATTTCAAGATGGAAACAAACGCCCAAGGAGTGAGCGTTGTGTCGTAGCCACAGGAGGAGCTTAAGATTGAGGCAGCAGGATTTGAAAAGCATTTGTTGAGCTTGTCTGCTGTGCCATCTTTTACTTTTGCTTCAAATAGATTTCTGTCTGTTGTACTGATCATTTTCTTCACAATATGCCATTATCGCCATCTCAGAATTGTTTGAGAATACAGACAAACCACTTCAGATCGTGAAAATGAAGCTTTGTGTACCTTCCCGTGTAACTGCATACCTTGTATTGAGAGCTACTGGATTACTGAAATGATTTTTAGATTCATTTGGATGTGTTAGAGTAGCGCAATATTATATATTTTCTATTATTACACAGCAGACGGTTATGAGGAGAAATTATCCATCATTTCAGAACCGTTGACTTATGTGTGTGTGTATCATCGTCTCATCAGTTCGATGTCTCTGTGAGACAAAGACTTTGTCCAGTCTTTGTCTCAATACAATTTTAAGTGACATTTTTATGTGCAGCAACAAATTAGCCCCTCATAAAGATGCATCCACCATGCTTAATTGTTTTTGCATTTTCTACTTGTACCTGCGTAGACTTTCAAGTAACTACTAATATTTAATTGGAAAAAAAATGCATTAAGCAAAGCTTTGAATTGATGTGCTGTGTTTTAGGCTGCCAGAGTGTTCTGTATATTTGCTTAAAAACGTTAGGATTATTTGTGTGATTTGGGTGGAGGAGTATGGAGGGACATGCTGATCTATTGTATGTATAAAATGTTCATCTATTTTATTATTTTACACAAAAGGGATGCTTCATCTGGACCCACTGTTTGCTTTTTGTATCTGCAGAGAGAGTTGTGGGATAGTATTGTTGGTTTTATTTTATTTACACCAAAAGATTCTTCACCAAACTAGACAGACAATGGGCTTGGATTCATTTCAGACTTCCAGTTTCATGTCTCATGTGTGAATGGCTGAAGCAAAGAGCATTTCCAGCCAGTATCTGTCAGTACATGACTTTAATCGTCTTCCTGTAAGAAGCAATCGGCTGGAGATGTGAGTAATTATAAATTAACACTCTGTCGCTCCTTTGTTTATTTGTTCTTGGTAGGTTTCTGTCTGCCGCTTCTTGAGTTGATTAAAACTTCTCAGTTCCGGCTGCCGTGATCCATTGAATTGCAGATAATGAACCGACGTTCCATCCACTGACACTTTGCGTTTGTCTTTGTCATGCTCTTAAAATGAGTTCCTGGAAGGCAACGGAGAAATGGGGGGAGAGAGACTGAAAGAAAATTGGGGGAAAACAACTTCAGCTGCCTTCAGCCGCTCAGCCTGCAGGGATTATTCCTCCACTGTCTGCTCGCTCACTGAAGCGAGCAGACAGTGTGTTGTGTCTGCTAGACTACTGCGCTGTGCAGGCACCTGTAGAGCTGTCACATGTCTGCTCGATGCTTGGGGGATACGAACCAAACTGTGCGCTTGTTACCTGCAGAGTGAATCATTCTCAGCATCAACAGAGAAAGGGATTATTAGAGATGCTAAGGTGACAGATGGCATTACTTTCTCTAAATTTTTCTTTCTATTTTGAGTTTGGCTGTGTCATTCTGATCAACACACACATTAACTGAAGCTAATAGCATGCTAGTGTGTGATTTTCTCTGAAATAAGGCGATGGTGGTCTGACGCAACAAATAGATTTTTGGAGGAATTAAATTGAGCAGAAAATCTTCACTTCATACAGGGACCCTCAGCTATTGAGAAACAATTGCTTCCTGGAGGCATGGACTGTGAAAATTCCATTTGTTTCTTTCAAAAGATTATCTTGGCTCTGGGGGGCTTTATTTGACAGAAAAGCGGATTGTGAGAGAGGGGAAGACATTCGGCAAAGGTCAACAGGCCTCTGACGCCATGTGCATGGGTTGCGTGCCAACAGTGCGCTAACGATTAGCTGTGATGTATGTAATGCACCAATTCGACACTATGAAGCTTACCGGAAATTCCCTGTGCTGTAAACAACCGTTCTGAGAAAACAGAAATGCCCAGCGGAACAACATGGCTGTTTTAATTCAATATATGAAAAGCGTGACCAACACGGTCTGGACGGCTTCATTCTCTTCCTCTGTTGCCACTGCTAAAACTGCAGGTAGATGACAATCTGTCTGTATTAGCAGGTAGAATTACTCTGAGTTTAGGTTAAAATTCAGACTTCCTGTTCTGTTGTTGGGTTTCACAGTGTACTTGTGAGAATCTGCACATTACAGATTGATCAGTAGAGGTTGCACTTTGCAACAGTGAATGAACATGGAAGTTTCTTGATCACATGTTTGCAATATTTATACACTTGGGTGTTTTTTGTTTTGTTTTGTTTTTTGGCCAATTTAATGGTTGTAAATAATTTCCAATTGGCTGTTTACTGGTCCACACTAACATTTTTCCTTTTCAAGTGTGTTTTCTAACAAACTAGAGTTTGGGGAATTTTATATCACACTGACATTAATATTGTTTTACTGCTAAGATATTTCTAGAGCAGATTTGGCATGACATCACACTGCTGTACAATATAGAACCATTTTCATTTGAACATGTTGCTTTAAACTTAAAAGAAAACTGAGACCTTTTATTTATTTTTTCATTAAGAGTTTATGTATCTTTTTTTTTCTTGAAAAATTATACATATGTTTTTTCTTAGAGCAGAAGGATTTGCCTTTTACATTCCTAAATAAAATGTGGATTAAAGCGCATCGTGTAATCTTGACCATGTCGTCTCTGCCTGACAGACGGACCCATGGGTGGCATTTAGAGCAGAAAAAGTCCCTTCAGCTCCAAGCAATTCCACTAATGTGGATAAATACACTTTTTATACTTGTGGAGTATTGTGAAACTACATTTAAAAAAAAAAAGTTATATGCATAAACATGTTCAACCATAAAATGTGGGATTATTTTAAAATAAAGTCACTTGGTTGGAGCAACTCCTGCCCATCTAACGTCGTCTCCCGGTGAACTTTGCAGCTGTTGCTCTTGTGCAGCAGAGCATTTACAGATTATGGGTTCCGACATGCCTCCACTTGCTCCATGTAAGGCTGCAAAACGGATGGAAAGTGAAGCACTGCTGCCCCCCACTGCCTGTCTTAGAAACACTTTTCCATAACCATGTTTAACGTTACAGCATGTTGGGCTCACTGATCAATTGCACAATAAAAAAAAAAAAAAGATACAAACAAAAACACAGTTCCTGTGCAAATGCAGGTTAAACAGTTGATGCAAAGCAAGATGATGGTTCTTTCCAATCAAGTTGGACATTTTCTACGACTTCAGATTAATTTACTCCAATTAAAATTGTGCTACTGATCTTTCTGTGTTGGACTGAAAGTCATACAGCTATTTGATTACTGGCTCTAATTTAATTCCACCTCTTGGAAGCTGCATTTGCACAACAAATCTATGTAAACCGTTAAAAATCCATGATTCTCAACTCGGATCGTGCTATTTTTCTCTCAAAAAAGGAGTCCATGACCCAGCAGCGGCACAAACCGTTCATCCTTTCATGATGAACGGTTCTTCAGAGCACTACAGTATCCCAGCAGGTCCAGAAACATCAACTACTTTATGTAGAATATAAGATTCATTTCTTCATAAATGTTCATCACAACAGGAAATATCAGGATTATAAGTTCCAAATGCGAAGTATCTAAAAGTACGGTTAGGCATATATATATATATTTTTTTTTTCCCCCAGATGACGCTGAAAGTTTATGGGCGATTATGACAGGATTTCCTCTGCGACGTGAAGCTGAACATGCAGCTAATGGTCTGATTTGGCAGCTCGCTCCTGGTCCCATGTTGCTTTCACAACAGAACCTTGTGGAGGTTTACAGGCTGTTCTGTTGGTGGTGCTGCTGCAGGATGGACAGCTCCTCAATCAGACGCTTGAAGGTGATTCTCCGCTCCGGAGTGTGCTCCCAGCACTTCCGCATCAGCTCATACACCTGGAAAATAAAACTGGATTTTAAACACTTTCTCAGTTTGCCTTAAAGCAGGGCGGTGTCCAAAGTCAAGGCCACAACTGCAATGCAGGACACAAGTCTGCCGCCCACTTACATTCTGATGCATAAATTATTACTATACAGTGTAATATGTACAAACAGGAGCATTTTGTTTGTGAACAAGCAGTCAAATTTTAAAAAGTGTCAGATGAATTATTCTGTCAATTGATTCCATTGTAAAACTGAAAAATCTGAATACAACTTAATTTTTTTTTTTTTTTTTTTTAGAAAAACCCTTACGATATCAAAAAGCTGAATCATTTGAAGGCAGGTGAACATCTTGTGACTTGTTTAAAAGTTGAATGAAGTTTCTAATTTGAAGTAGGCTTTAGTAGTGAGCTGTCAAAGATGGTGATTTTTGTGGAATTCTAAAGAATTTCATTAGAACTGAAATGTGAATCAAAGTTTAAATATTTAAAAAATTGTAAAAGCTGAAATTACCAAAAGATATAGCAAAAGGTTTTTTGTTTTTTTCCCCGGCTGAAGTATGCAGAAGTAGGTAAGAGCCAAAAAATGTAGAGAGAATCTTCAGTCTAAAATCTTACAATAGAAAATTTAGGCTATAACACACTATTGCCTTTCTTTCAATGAGGCAAACCTGGAAAACCCTTTTATGGGATGGATCTACAAAAAACCTGACTGCTGTACCCAATGTTTTGCTGCTTAGTTTATTATTTTTCCCGGCCTGTAAGTGCTTTTGTCTTGACAATTTTGTCCACGTGACAAAAAGTTTGGACACCCCTGTTTATGTTGTTAACTTGAACTTCCCCAAACCTTTAGATCACACTTCAGCCTTTGAAAGCTTTTAGCTAGGCCTCTTACACGGGGAAGCAGATGTTTGTTCTGGAACCAGCTCAGACAGATTGGAGTTCTGTCTGCACACACTAATGTGAAGGAAAAACTTTAACGAAAGTTAAGAAAAATCATAAAGTTACTTACACGGCCAGGGCAACCTTCAGGACAAGCCAGTCTTTTTCCCTCCTGCAGAACATTCACCAAGCGGACAATGGTCATCTGGCCTTGAGCTCTCCCGATCATATCTAGGAAGCACTGTGAAGGTAAGGACAAAAGCAAATCGCAGAGTTATTGGTCAAGTTTTCAATTACTCTTCAATATAAAAAGAAATTTAGTAAGCCATTACATTTTCTCATTATTTGTGCCTTTTTAAATGTTTGTTTTGTACCATAAAAACAAAATTTGTTACTGTGCCCAGCTGTTTACAGTTTTTAAGATTTTGGAACGCAATTGATTGGATGAAAAAATTCTGAACATAAGAAAAATGGTCCAAACATTTTATCACCAGGTTGTAAAAAGGGGGAAATTATGAAAACCTATTTTATTAAATAACTGTCCATAAAGCTTCCTCTGTTCTTCAGTTTGGTTCTCAACATCATCCACAGATAAAAGTGTGATGTCGGTGATGGATCTCCATAATAAACTAGACTTGCAACGTTGGCACAGATTGCTGCTTAGATTGCTTCTAGTAAAACGCGTCATCTGCTTTTATTGGCCGAAGAATTGTGCCATCTGCCACAGGCAAATAACTATGTGGGCAATGCACAGACAAATACAGTTGATTGAGTATGAATGTACATGTGTTTTAATGTAGAATCATCTGAGTAGAAACAGGGAACACTGACCGTCATTGGGCTTTTGGACGAATCGCAGTAGGTGATGATTTCATACATGGTCACACCGAAGGACCAGACATCTGAAGCGAGGTAAAACTTGCACTGAGTCAGACACTCAGGAGCATACCTGAAACACAGAAAATGGGTTAAAAGAGGTTTGTTATTCATATGTAAAGTCATTTAAAAAAAAAAAAAACAAGTTCGCTAGTCATCTTTGTTCTCAACTAACCAGAAGACGGGGCTGTCGTTTTCGTCCTTGACCGTGTAATAACCGTTGTTTTCCTTCAGGCTTTTTGTGAGGCCAAAATCTCCGATCTTCACCATGCCTTCTTTTTCCACCAGCACATTTCGGGCTGCCAAGTCGCGGTGGATGTAGTTCCGAGATCCCAAATAATCCATGCCCTAAAAAAAAAAAAAAAAAAAAAAACACACAAAAAACATAAACAAGAAAGTCTTTAGCAACTTGAGACTGAATAATCTGACATGACAAAAGGTCCCAGGAGTAAAGATTGTATTACCCGACATATCTGGATACAGTAGCTTAGCAGGGTGCCAAGGCTGGTCTGGCTCTTGTATCTGGGAAGATACTCCTTCAAACTGCCCAGTGGAAGATACTCCATTATCAGCTTGATGGTCTTTCCACCTAGAAATCAAACACAAAGTAGTACATAATCGTGCAGTGGTAGGAAAATGAATCAAAGATGAGAGAAAAAAAAAAAAAACATCTGACATGTGGTTGTCACTTTTTATTATGATACACTTAAACACATCCAGGTAAAACGACTTTACCTTTAATTCAACATTATGCTCTGTAGAGGTGTGACTTCTGATTATTTTGGTAATCGATTATTCTATTGTTTATTCTGATGATTAATTGAATAAAAAGCCGGCACGTTCTTTGGATTTTTTCCATTCAACCACTTAAGCCTTGTATTTTTATATAGAACATTAAAATACAGTCCAAGATGTAAATGAACAATTTAATATTTGTATCAAAGGATGGAAAAGCCCAGTCCTTTCTGCTTGACTTAATACAGAGTAGGGTTGATCTGTTCATTATTTGATTAACTAAATAGCAAAAAATACTTTTTTGTACAGAATTTAAACCAGATGAAGCCAAAACTGCTGGATAAAGACTTTTTTTTTATGTTAGATGAAACATGTAAATATTTTTTGTACAGTTTTGTGTCATGTCTGTATTTGTGTTGCGCAGCACCTTCTTCCTGGCTGATGCCTTTGTATTTGACGATGTTTTCATGATAAAGAGCCTTTAGGATCTCAATCTCTTTGAGGAGGTTGTTGCTCTGTTCCTCGCCGTTCTCGGGCTTCAAGGACTTCACTGCCACCATTTCACCCGTTCGGTCTCCCCGAGGGTCGTAGCGACACAACTCCACCTTACCGAAGTGACCCTGTGAGTGGAGAGCATGAACACTTTTTATCTTTTAAGAAAAAGGCACGAGAACAGCTTTCAACTCAATATGAGTAACATTAAGAAATAAATTCTCTGATATTTTCTAAGCTTTTTTAATGGTAAAAAACGAAATTATACACTGCTTTCTGACTTTAGTAAGCAGAAAATAAGATACAACAGCATTAATTAGCTGTTATGTTTGTCTTTGTAAATCGTTGCATAATTGTCAAGAATATCAAGACAACAATTGATAAAACATAAAGCTTTTGTTTACCTCTCCAAGTTCTCTGATCTTCCTCAGGAATCTGGTTTCAAATACAGTCGGGTCCACCGGCTGTATTGGACATGGTTTGATGAATGGACCTGAGGAAAGGAAAAATATCTTTGATCAAAATTAAACTTTAAGCAGGCATTAAACATACTTTTCATTAAGCCCCTATTTCTCCAGTATGTGCTTCTTTTTTCTGTGTTTTCGTTAGCTGAAAGCAAAAAGTCGCCATTAACAGAAATAAAGACTTGAAAACATCAGTCTGTGTGTGATTAGTCAATAATAACTCTTAGTAAATTTAATTACAGACATTTTTTTAAAAAGTTATTAAAAATGATTTCTTGTATCATTTAGATCAGATTTATCACAACAACATTAAATTCTGATGGTTGAACAAGTTGACAATATTGTGGGGATTCTTACTGTTACTATTTTCTCCACTGGTGGTTCCATTAGAGCATCAATATACATCAGTACATTTAAACAAAATAAATAAATCCAGTTACTGTGTGGAAGGTAGTGATAAAAAAAATAGATAAATCACAATTCCTTATTGTGTCCTGAGGAAGCCCATTTCAACACACCTGAGGACTAATTAGAGAGCAGTCATATTTTTGGACTGCGGAAGGAAACCAGAGTACCCGGAGAGAACACACACACAAACACAAACACGCACACACACAGGAGAGCAAACAGAAAGGACCCCGACTGGGATTTGAATCCAAGACCCTCTTGCTGCCGAGCAACAGCAACACATATCCATCTGTGTGAAATGAGTTTGTTCAACATATGCATAGTTGCGTAATAGGAAGTCTATTGTGGTCGACTGTTATGTTTTTCACTAGAATTTTTTGTGGTTATGTAACTGTTTGCTTGCACTAGTTTCCCTGTAATTGGCTACTATGATACTTAAAGCAAATTATATAAACAAGTTGTGATGCTGAATATCTAAAAGAAATAAAAGTCAATATTTATGTTAGAATAAAATGATTCCGCAGGGTTTTTAATATGTTTAAACAGAGAAATAATTGTTTTATGTTGTTTGGTTAGCAAGACAGACTGCAGTATACAGAAGCAGCCACTAGGTGGAAGAATGGACTGAAGTGTGTTTCTGTGGGGCCCAAGGAGGGGCAGATCACTGGTAATGTACCCAGTGAACTTCCTCATGAACATCTGAGCGAGTAAACAACTCTCTCTATATCTGAGGCTGCTGCTGCTACATGAGAGACAAACCGCGCATAACATCCAGGTCGGATTTCATAGGTTAAAAATACAGCCTGAATGTGTTGGTTTGGTCTCCACAGCTTAGTTTTATTAAACCTTTTCTAATCTTACATAACAGATAATAAAACCCGACCTGATGTTGAAATGCAAAAACAAAAGGGTTTGAGTTCATATGTAAACACAATAAATATAGATTAAGTGAAACTTATCACACATACTTTTTTCTTCTAGTACATCCAAGTCTCTGACGATAGCCCTGAAGAAGGGTCTCTTCTTGGGGTCATAGTTCATGCAGCGGGTCATGAGTTCAGCAAGCTCCTTGTAGTCTGGGGTGGCCAACTGGAATTCAGCTTCATAAAACCTCTCCTTCTGCTCACCACAAATTATGGAAGGAAGGAAAGGGGATCAGTTTCTCTGTAAGAACTCAGGAAAAATCAAGTAGGAATCTGATTTCGAGCCGTTTTTGTGTTCATTTACCTCCGTCAGCTTCTTCTCTTTGAGAGGAACCTCTCCATCGTAACAGATCTCCCACAGGGTGGTACCGAACCCCCACTTATCAGCCGCCACGCTCAATTCTGACGGGTTCCTCACACATTCAGGAGCAATCCATGGGATGCGATGCACACATTCTGCACACACAAAGCCAAAATCCTGTTGGACCAACGCTTTTAGGATGATCACAGTGTTTGTTTCTGCTTGCTTTACTGACATTCACATTAAACTATAGAAAGATATAAGTATTACATAAGAGCTATATGAACAAATAGACAGAAATAATGCTATGAAGACTGCTAACCAGACAGACTGACTAACACCATCTATAAGGAAGGCTACAGACAAAATGCATAAAAAAAAAACAGTCATGTTCAAGTAAGTTAATGGAAAGTTTAGGAGAAGGAAAACTGCTAAAAGGAAAATGTGCATAAGCAACAGAGATTACTAAGAATCGAATCCTTTCAGGGTTGTGTAAGACATTCGTAAGTTGGAATCCGTTCCTCTAGATGTACCATACCCAGAACTGTCACATTCCTGGTGTTAAGCTACTATACAAACAATTTAAGAAGTGTTTTTGCTGAGCTAGGGAGCAAAAGGACCAGCATATTCTTCAGTTTTGAGCATCAAGATTCCAAAGCCTGGTTAAGAGTTGATTTAGGAAGCCATGTCATTTGCTCCTGTAACTCTTCCCTCTTATCAGCTCCAAAGTCAGCACTTTAGCAAGCACAAGGCATTGAAGAGATGCTATTTTTTATTTCCCCAGCAGTACCTGGTACGTACCCAGACCACTTACAGCTTAAAGTATAAATATCTGGTTGGCCAGGAAGTTCACCTGACCTAAATTCAATAGAGAATATGAGTATTGTCAAGAGGAAGAGCCACCAATGCAGACAAGTTGAAGGTGCTATTAAAGCATCTTTAACACCTCAGCAGAACTGACAACTGATCGCCTCCCGGCCAAGCTGCATTAATGCAGTTTTTCATGTAAAAGCGGCTCTGACCAAGTACTATCTGCATCCTGGACATACTTTGCAGTTCGCCATCAGAAAGTGAATTCTGGGTCTTTATTGGTGGTATTATTTTGTGTGGAACAAATATATATAATTAAGAATTTACTTTTTGAAACTGAGTTGAATCAATAAATTTATTTCAGATGATACTGTGATTAATGTTGATCCACATATACCTACGATGAATTTTAATAAGATAGATTAGAGTATAAGGGTTCCTCTGTTTGGCATCTGAAGAAATAATACCAGGACAACTCTAGATGCTACATTAATAATTGAGAAAACCAACAACCTGCTTTTACATGCAGCTTAGAGCTAATCATATTTAAAAACAAAAAAACAAAAGGGTGCGGGGTATAGAGGACGTGACACAAATGCGGAGGCCTCAGTTGTTGACATGGCCGTCATGGGTTCAAGTCTTGGCCTGATGACCTTTGTCGTATCTCTTCCTCCTCTCTTACAACCCACTTTCCTGTCAGTTTACTGTGAAATAAAGTCCACTAGAGCTGAAAAATCCTTAAAAAAGAAACTGCAAAATCTCTTCTAGAGTTTATAAGATTACATCTGTACATCAGTATATCACTCAGTTCAACCCAACAAGTGTTTTCACAGCCACTGTAAAACATGTCTAGACAGTAATATGTAATTTTCTACTTCCTTAAAATTGACTCAGTGTAAAAATAAAGAATGTGTATTATTAAGATTGGTTCTGTAAGAAAAGGTGAATTAACAGGACAGTTTTTAACGCAAACAAAAGTTCAGTGCTCATGTGGGCTCCTGTCATGGTCTGTCGTACTTGGTGTGAAGCAATACTGTCTCTTAATGTGAGGAGGAAATGCTGTGTGGGAAGCTAGCTTAAACTGTTGAATTGGCATCGTTTGGTTGATAAATTTCAGCATTACTGGAAAAACGCTCCACTAATCTGACATCCACAGCCGTCTTTTTAGCTCCACAAATCCATAACTTAAATGAGAAGATGGGAAAAGAGAGAAAGATGGAAAACCAGTGAAAGAGAAGAAAACATCTTAAGAGCCAGAAGAAAGCAATCAGATTAGTGGGAAGTAGGGAAGAGTGCTCCCAAAGAGTCTCTGAGCACATTACGCATCGATTTCAATTAAATCTATGGACAAGCACATCGATGTGGAACGGGAAGACCAGCTGATCAGCAAAGTGATAGAGAGAGGAATGGAAGAAATGGTAAAGATTTCTGAGAACAAACAGCGCTGGGGGGAGGGGTATTCCCACGGGCGCGTCTACACTGAGACGTTTCCAGTTTGTCCTGTGGTTGAGTCAGATCCATCTGAGCAGCCGCAGCAGCCGCCATCAAACAACTTCCAGCTCAGATAGACGAACAGAAACAAGAAGCTGCTACACGAGGGGAATTGTGCAATTTGAGACGTATCCATCTTAGTTTGACTTTGCACAGATTAAAACAAAACAAGTTACAGTCTCTGGTTGAAATCTGCTCAATGAGATGGAATGATTAAGAGACAAATGTGAATCTTTATATTCACAGAAACCTTTGACTGTGCTTTGTTTTCTTGTGTTTCGTGGAAAGATTAAAACCAGCCGGTGTTAATGAGGAATTAGAATTTCGTTTCAGTATCTCAGGGTCTTAGACTAGTCAGTTAGTACTCAATAATGAATTTCACCCTAGTTCATCCTAACTTCACTACAGCCTTTCTGCTTTTTTCAATTCTGCTTTCATGTACAGCTGACAAAGAGGAAGTTGATGCAAACAGTTCCATGGCAGCTATTTTGCAACTTTGTGATTTGCATTGTAACAAAAGTGAAAATGAGGTCGCCTGTGCTTCTTGCTCACCCTCCCTGGAGAGCACCGTTATTGGTATTCCTGGGTCACTGAGCTTGATGAAGGGCTCTCCCTCCTCTTCATCCAGTCCGTCTCTGGCAAGCAGAATGTTCTTGGCACAAACAAAGCCGTGGACCAGCTTTTTGTCTTCCTAAAATACACACAATGACAAAAAACATTTATTAGGCAGAAACAAAATGTCGCCAAGATGTCATTGCTAAAACTCGAAGCTTCTGCTCTTAAAAAAAGCCAGTTTCTCTTAAATTCAGAATAAAAGTCACAGATTTGTTCAGATCTGGGGTCTTTTTCTGACATCTTTAATTAAAATTTTTAGTTTAGACTGCAAAACTATATATTAAATTGTTACATAAGTTGTCCTTGTTTAGCTTCAAGACCACCCCACTCAGCAGGAAGTGACATAATTATTTTCTTTTTCAATTATTGTTTTTCTGCACACTGAAATCACATGTGGGGTAAACACAGCATCATACCATGCATTTAAATACCAATTAAGGGGAAAATAAAGGTTTCTGCTTACCAGGTAGCTAAGAGCGGAGGCCAGCTGTTTGGCCACCTGGAATTTCCACCTGGTGCTCAGTGGACTCTGTTGTCTCCTGATAAACACATCTAGCGGTCCTAGCTGGACATATTCTTCCACCATGATATCTTTTGACAGAAAGAGACGCGTCACGAGGTTAAACCTCTGCATCATAAAAATCTCAAACTCAATCGAGCAGCTGAACAGCACTTACTCTCCTGATGACGAACACACACGCCATAGAGCAGCACGATGTGTTTGTGAGACACTTGTCGCATCATGTTGGCTGTTTCGAAGAAGGCCTGTTATCAGAGAGAGAAACATGTTTCAACAACGGTGCAGCAGGCTGAAGACTTTAACTAATAATTATTTGAAACATTTCAGCTTTTATCATAAGAACAACAGACATCATCACATTTTAAAATGTGTTCCAACAAGCTAATGGGTATGAAAGTGAGTCTCACCAGAGAAATGTCCCTGTGTCCAGAACCAAGCACCTTCAGGACGACCTTGACCTCTTGGAAAGATGTGTAACCTGCATCTTCATCTTCCTCATTTTTGACCCTCAGAGTGCCCAGGTATATGTTGGTTTTTGTACCAACGCCCAGGTGCTCCTCCTGGTTAACACAACATGGAGCACAGACAGTTCAGAGGTCAGAAAGAAGCTGCATCCAAAGTATCTTGCTATTTTTTTTTTATATTCTAGCATGCAAGATAATGTTTTGTGTTATTAATTCAAAGGTGAGAATTTTAAGTTGTATTACAAAGTTATGAGTTATTAATTAAAATCTGTATTTCTGGTGCTATTGTGTTATATTTAAGTATATTTACAACTGGATGCAAAAACTTCAACATACTAACTGGAATTTTGCGTGGTATACAAACACAAATATTCCATAATTATGAAGCAGAAGAAAAAGAATAAATGGTTTTCTAAATGATTTTACAGATAACATATCTATATTTGTAAGGCACTGTAGATGATGAACACAGGAAGCAACATGCTAATGTCTTAGCATTTCTCTGCAATAATAAGAGACAAACAGAAAATGTACCTGCTCAATGTCCTCCTTGGGAATGCGGTGGAAGATGCAGAGCTCCCTCTCATGCTTTGTTGGCTGACAGATGGAAGCTCTCTCCTTGGTAACCACAAGAAGGTTAGAAATTTCTGTAACAAAAAAAAAAAAAAATTCTGTTAGAAAACTATGAACAGCACAAAGCAACTGTTGATCTCATTGTTGAACAAAGTTTTCGATTTGGATGAAAGCCTGGAGATCTGTGTTGGTTAATCCTTCACTTCTTCCTGTCTTGTTACCATGGTGAAGGTATTGTCAAAACTGTGGGCTGGTTTGAAATGTATGCGCTGCATTCAGGCAGTAAGAATAAAACCTGGAAATACTATCTGTATCTTTCAAAACATCGAGGTATAAAATAAAGACTCAGCAGCTAATGCATGAAGCTGTGAATAAAAGCAGCAGTGCTGTGTTTACATGTGGCAAAACAAACTATGACAAGAACAGATATTAATGTTCAGCTATTAAACCTGATGCACTCTGTATACTTCTACACATGAGCAGACAGTGAAAATGAGTATTTGTTTATGTACTATATGACGGTGTGTGTGCAATGTGGGTTGCTAATGTTGTGACAAAACCAACAACTTGTGGTTCAAGTGAGGGGTGTGTGTGGGAAGGCAGAGGGGGCGTCTGCACTCCTTTAGCAACTTGTTAAAGAAGTCGGTGACATGCAATCTGGGTTTCATGCAAACTCAAAAAACAACATGCACCCAGATCCACCATCAAATAAGACACACACTCTGCTGCGCTCACTCAATAATCTTCTATTGAGAACTGGCATTACTTAAAACATACACATATGTGCTATAGACAACAGAATAGCTCTTTTTTTTCATTTCATGTTTACGATACTTCAACACAAGTAAAAGCAAAGAATACTCTCAGGATGTGGGCATACTGTATCAGTGGGCTATGGTTCGAGTGAGCCCATTGTGTAACAGTATAAATGAACCCAGAAAACAATACAGACCAGATCTTTTATCTTCCACTGAAGCAGATGTATCAGCTTACTGACGTGCATTGTGATAATAATCAACGCCACACCTACCTGAACAAACACCTCGGTACACTTATACAGACATGGCTCTATTTCTTTCCCTGTGTAAACAAGAGTGCTAGTTTGGTTACGGAAACCCACATTTTACAACTCTCTTCCTCCCTGACACCATTTCACAGACACTGCCAACACCGTTTCCCTTACCCCAACTCAAGCACACCTACGCCTTAAGAGCAGGTCCACATTCTGGCTTGCGTCGGTAGAAATCATAGCGCTACACATGTGCGAGGTTGACATGTTCGAGTTGTGCAGTATGCTATACATGTAACCACAGAGCAAAGATGAATGTTACTCTGCTGCAGCTATTCTGCCTCTATTTAGAGAAGGAAGTGTTAAATAGGTTGCATAAAACATCTAAAGACAATAGTTTCCAAGACTAAAATGTACATATATTCAATAATAAATATTGCTAATTGTAACTTTTTTTTAATGCATGTCATTTGCCTTTCAGATGCCAGTAACAAAGGCTCCCCTTAAAGAAATATTTTGTGTGGACAAACTAAATGCCTTCTGGGTAAAAGTATTACGGAGAGGTGAGACAAAGACAAAATTCTGGTCGTTTCACCTAGAAAAAAAAAATATGATTAGTGCCACTTCTAGATATGGCACTACTTCAAACACATACCTGATGTTGTACTTCATCTGACTTATGTCACTGATGTGATACATGCGTTAGAATTCTGCACCAGAAAAAGTTTGACATAACGTTGGATAATATGGCTGAAAATCTATCACAATATAAGCTATGATATCAGTTGATATGGAGTTAACTAGTTTTTTTTTTAAATATCTGAAATACTGCCAAATTGGTGGCATGAACTTTCGTGTTTTATCCAGTTTCCTCATGAGCCATTGTTCTGCTATTAAGCAGTTTTTAGGCATGACGGTGAAACCTGAAACTACTACTGTGCATGCTACTCAACAGGTTGTTGCTAGGTAACCAAAGAGTGAGTA